ACTGAAATTATTAGTTATATTAACAAAGGCCTGTTTTCACCATGGAAATTTGATTGCAGTGTGGAATGTTATACAGCAATAGTTACGAGGAAAAGCTGTTTTAGAAATCACCCTTTCATTAGGAAAAAGAAAAAGGTTATTCAGGACGTAACCAGGGAGGTGACAACCCAACTTTTATATTGAAGCTTTAATGCCCTAAACTCATGGTTACAGTTTACAATTTGAGGTTGGGTACAGCAACTCACGGCTAGCACTTTGGGAAGCCTAGCACTTTGGCAGGCTGAGGTGGGAGGATCGCTTAAGGTCAAGAGTTCGAGACCAGCCTAAGCAAGAGCAAGAAATTGCTCTAGATTTATTTAGCTACCTGAAGAAACAGTCATAAAGACTTTCTGAAATAATGACGAACACTTTGACTATTCCTACTGAGCAAAGCAAAACAGGATGTCACACAGAAGAAAAGCAGAAATGCCCCACATTTTAAAAATAGATAAAAAAGCAAACATTTGTGAACAAGAAAACAGCAAGAAGGCTGCCAGGCATGGTGGCTCATACCTGTAATCCTAGCACTCTGGGAGGCCGAGGCGGGAGGATAGCTTGAGGTCAGGAGTTCAAAGCCAGCCTGAACAAGAGTGAGACCTCATTTCTACTAAAATAGAAAAAAACTTAGCTGGGCATCATGTTCCTGCCTGCAGTCCCAGCTACTGGGGAGGCTGAGGCAGGAGGATCGCTTGAGCTCAGGAGTTGGAGGCTGCAGTGAGCTATGACGACACTACTGCACTCTACCCAGGGTGACAGAGTGAGACTCTGAAGGAAACAGGGAAGGGAGGGAATGAGGAAGAGAGAGAGGAAGGGAGGGAGAAAGGAAGGGAGCAAGATAAAACAGTGAGAAGAGGAAAAAGTCCTTCGGGGCTGTCAGTGAGCCCTGTCCTCGGGGGTCAGCTTGCAGCAGGCTGGTGGGGCAGACCTCAAGGGTGTGCACACTAAGTGACTTAAACCCCAGGGAGCACATTTTTCAGACCAACTGAAAGTAAAGGGGAAAAAAGTTCACAAATTAGCCCATCTTCTTAATAACCAGATGTAAGCAACTGCATTAAGTTTATTTCTACATATTAATAATACTATCCAACTTGGGCCTCACAGCAGCCCTGTGAGGTCTGAGTTTTAAAGCATTCCCATTCTACAGACAAGAAAAGGAGGTACACAGAAGTTAAAAGCACGAGGCTATTTAACAACCAAAGATGAGCTGGGACGCATTTGTCCATCTTCCCAATCAGAATGATCTGTCATAAGTCTCGTTACCTCAGAATCAAGCTCTGAATGCAGTCAGTGTAACCTTAAGAGCTTTCTGCACATGAACCACTCCCCTAGCTCTTTACCGGGAAAATGGAAAGCGTATTCCCCACCCGGAAGAGCTCCCTGCACAAGAGCCGCTGCTGGAGAATCGCCCCGGGGGACTGGTTACCGCCACGCTGAGAAGGCCAACGCCAAGGCTGCTGCTTCTCAGGCTGGTGCAGCAAGCTTCAAGATAAGCTTCCTTTTTCAATAAGAAGGGGGGGGGGTGGGAATTCCACGGGGAAAGAAGACTGGAAAATGCCGCCCAGTGTGCGTCTGCCTTGGAGATCTGAAACATCTATTAGCACATTAAGAGCTCTGGTAAGCCTTGCTATACACAAACCTGTTTATCTTTTTTTTACCTAATACCTATCAAATCATGCTGACCTAAGGTTCCATCGAAAAACATGCATTGGGAAAAGCTTGGCATGTCACTCCTTACAGGGGCTATTTTGCATTTTGTTTTGTTTTGAGACAGAGTCTCCCTCTATTGCCCGGGCTAGAGTGCCGTGGTGTCAGCCTACCTCACAGCAACCTCACACTCCTGGGCTCAAGCGATCCTCCTGCCTCAGCCTCCCGAGTAGCTGGGACTGCAGGCATGCGCCACCATGCCCGGCTAATTTTTTATATATATGTTTAGTTGTCCAGCTAATTTCTTTCTATTTTTTTTAGTAGAGACGGAAGTCTCGCTCTTACTCAGGCTGGTCTTGAACTCCTGACCTTGAGTGATCCGCCTGCCTCAGCCTCCCAGAGTGCTAGGGTTACAGGCGTGAGCCACCACGCCCAGCCTGTATTTAATAGTGTCTCTCCCCAAGGAAGAGCATGCAGAGTGGAGGTTTCACCCATGGCAGGTCTGCGAACAGGTGGTTCAGGGGACTCACCTGCCCCCTCTTGGTCTAAGCAAATGATGTCAGGCTGGGGCAGCCCCACTCCCCCTTCCAGCAGCCAAGCACAAGCCAGTCAGGAGCATTACTTCTGGCAAAGCTGTGCTGACGCACTCAGGTCTAAAAATAACTCTTGACCACAGGCAGTAGCTCTAGATTCTTCTCCCCAATCTAAAATCTATGTTCACCACCTGTAAGGTGCTACTTAATTGTAATCATTTCCCACAAATAGGTACTAATCTGTTATGAAAAGAGGCCACACAAATAATCAAAATCCCCAGCTCTGCTTTTCAAGTTGTGCAGAAAATGCTGCCAACGTTAAATGTTCCATCACGATATCTGGCCAATGCATGCCGGCATGTATACACTTCAAACTTTAAAGTGTGTAAATTCAGGGGGGAAGCGAGAGGGGAGGAATAAGTCCAAAATAATCATTATAGCCTTCAAGAGAGAAAAATCCATGCTCTGAAGAATGCTTTTGAGATACCATTTCAGCTATAAGTCAGATTTACTTCCCAAGAGCAATCCTGAACTACATATAAAAGAAACAGTGTTTCAAACAAACAAATGGTAACTCCTATTTCATCCTGGGAGGCGTGGTCTGGGGGTATGATTCCACAGCTTAGATGTAATGACGGTTTCTTTTATGAGCACTGTATTTTAATATGGACACGCATGCCTAGGAAAACATGTGTCTGGGTTTGAACACATGAGTCCTTATGAAGAAAAAAGTATAAAATATACGTAAAAGGAGAGGAAAGTGAGGGAAATGATCGTGCCTGGCAGGTATGACATCTCACGGGGACTTCTGCAAGCACCTGGAATCAGCCCCCAGCCCAGTCTGAGCACAGTCCTCACCCCAGTCCCAAGCTGGTCGCAAACACAAACTCTCAGTATAGAGGGAACCTGGCTGGGTGTGGTGGCTCACGCCTGTCATCCTAGCACTCTGGGAGGCCAAGGCGGGAAGATCACTCAAGGTCAGGAGTTGGAAACCAGCCTGAGCAAAAGCGAGACCCTGTCTCTACTAAAAATAGAAAGGAATTAATTGGCCAACTAAAAATATACAGAAAAAATTAGCTGGACGTGGTGGAGCATGCCTGTAGTCCCAGCTACTACGGAGGCTGAGGCAGGAGAATTGCTTGAGCCCAGGAGTGTGAGGTTGCTGTGAGCTAGGCTGATGCACGGCACTCTAGCCCCCGCAACAGAGTGAGACTCTGTCTCAAAAAAAAAAAAAAAAAAAAAAAAAAAATCACTTCTTTCTGCTCAGGAAGAGGCTGGGTGTGTCAACAAACTTCTCTGTCCATAAACCGCCAATCTAAGCGAGTCCCCTCTCACTGGCTGTTCTGCACTGGGAAGTGCTGTACCTGTGTATACTGTTTCGCTTTGTCAGGGTGCCTCTATCATTTGAAGATCAAAATGTCTGTTGAACACCTATTTTAATTCCATCTCAGCTCGGTCCCTATGTATCATTCATTATGGAACTATTCTGGCCCTTCCTTGAGAATTTTTAGCCCATTTTTCTTGCTTTGTCATTTAAAAAGAAAAGAGCATTGCATGCTGACATTGCTAGCCCAGCTTACATTAGCAGAGCCTGATTACCAGAAGATCAGGCCTAAATCATTTCCAAAGAGCAGAAACGTAATGAAAAAAGCCCCAAGAACATTTTTAAAATACTTTTCTATTAATACTAAATGCCTCACATTTAGCATGAAGTACGACTCGCCCTGACATACTCAAGGAAGATGCACACGTCAGCTACTTGGGAGTATCAGGTGGAATAAACACCAGGTGACAAACTATTCATCTCACGTGGTTAAAACCAGACAAAATGCAATCGTCCTTTCTCCCTAGAAAGACCGAGTGCAGTTTCAGGACAGGAACGCCTGTCAGAGCTGACCTTTCACCTTTCCGCCAGGCTAGGAGGACCTGCGAGTCCGCACAGACCACCGCCCAGGACCGACAGCACCCCGAGCACCCCCACCCCGAGAGCACCCCCCGCCCCAAGTGCACCCCGCCTCGAGCACCCCCACCCCAAGAGCACGTCCACCCCGCCCCAAGCACCCCCACCCCGAGAGCACCCCGACCCCGAGAGCACCCTCACCCCTCCCTGAGAGCACCCCCAGCCCCAAGTGCACCCCACAGAGCACCCCCCGCCCCCAGAGCACCTCAATGTCCCCGAGTGCACCCCCAACCCTGAGTGCAACCCCCGCCAAGAGAGCACCCCCAACACCGAGAGCACCCTCGTCCCAAGAGCACCCCCCAATCCTGAGCGCACCCCCAACCCCGAGCGCACCCCCTGCCAAGAGCGCACCCCCCACCCCGAGAGCATCCCCGCCTCGAGCACCTCAACGTCCCCCCACCCCGCCCAGCGCACGTCCCGGCGCAGATGCGCACGCGGAGCCCGCGGGACCAACGAGCGGGTCCCAGGAATTGGGCCCTAACGGACGCCTCCGCCCTGTCCTCTCACCCGCCTCTGCACCTCACCCTGGCACCCCGGTAGCGAGGGCCCCCCAACCCCCGGCTGACAGTTATTCCCTCAGGAGTTCCCTGCCCCGTCCGCGGCCCCCCCCCCGCCCCCGCCCGCGGACACGGATCCGGACCGCCCGGCCTCCCGCAGCGCCCGGTCGGGCCTCCCGCCCTGCCCCGCCCTGCCCCGCCCCGACACCGCACCGGCCCCAGCACCCCACGGGCCCCGGCACCGCACGGGCCCCGGCACCGCACAGCCCCGGCACCGCACCGGCCCCGGCACCGCACGGCCCGGCTCCCCCGGCCGCGGGCGCTTACCCGGCTCGTGGACGCCCGGGTTGTCCGACAGCTCGAGCACCAGCAGCTCGCGGCCCTCGGCGCTGCGCCCGGCCGAGTAGAGCCTGGCGACGGCCGCGCACTGCAGCCACACGGCCACCAGCGCCTCGCGCAGCTCGGGGTAGCGGTGGTACTCGAAGGGCAGGCCGCCCCCGCGCCGCGCGCCCGCCGCGCCCGCCAGCCCCGCGCAGGCGGCCAGCGCGCCCAGCGCCAGCAGCGCCCGGGCCTCGCGCCCGGCCATGGCCCGCAGGCTCCGCTCCGGTCCGCGCGCTCCGGGGGCCGCAGGCTACGCTCGGTCCGCTCGCTCCGGGGACCGCAGGCACCGCTCGGGTCCGCGCGCTCCGGGGACCACAGGCACCGCTCGGGTCCGCGCGCTCCGGGGACCGCAGGCACCGCTCGGGTCCGCGCGCTCCGGGGACCACAGGCACCGCTCGGGTCCGCGCGCTCCGGGGACCGCAGGCACCGGGGACCGCAGGCTCCGCTCGGGTCCGCAGGCACCGGGGACCGCAGGCTCCGCTCGGGTCCGCGCTCCGGGTACCGCAGCGTGCTGGCCGGCCGGGTTCGGCGGAGCCAATGGCGCCCGCGCGCAGGTGAGGGGCGGCGGGGTCTGGCCGCGGCGGCGCTGACGTCGAGCCCGAGCCCCACCCGCGCGGCGCCGCAGAGATGTCCCCGGATGGCGGCGGGGCCTTTAAAGGGCCACCCGCCCGCGCGTCTGCGCGTCTGCGCCAGAGCCGCGGCCGTCCCCGCGCCGGGGACTCGGGACGCGGGGACACGCGCCGCAGCCCGGACGCGGCCGGCCGGGAACCGGAACGCCGGCTCTGTGCGGACGGCTGGGGGGCAGACGTGCTCTCTAGCAATCTGCAGACGCCGCCTTTAGTTATATCTGTGCGCGCCCCTGGGTTCTTCCTGGAAAAGGGAAGGGAAACCCAGATGGGGTGTGTGGCCGTGCGCTCACTGGGGACGCGCGTGGGGACGGCCGCGCAAGGGCTGCAGCCCGGCCTCGAGATCCAACCCTCTTCCAGAAAGGAAGCTGGCGGTGACAGGGCCCCTCCATCCCTTCCGCAAAGCCAAGGGATGCAGAATCATCCTTGATTATGAAGACGCAGAACCATCTGCGGCTTTGCGTGCCCGCCCTGGCCGGGACTTACGCTCCGTGGCAGCTGCCACCCTGAGGGGCCGCGCGGCTCCGAGGACTGCACCAATCTAAACAAGTAATCCACTGGGCACTGCAGCCAAACGGGGAAACTGGGCTCCACGCGGGCAGTTTTCCTGTTAGACGTTTTCCTCTGAACTTGCTCCTTCTCCACCAGTTTAACAACGCATTGCACAGAATGAACACTTCCACCTGGAAAAGGATCCAGATGTTTAGGTGATTTTATGGGATCAAAACTGAAAGCATAGACAAGGTTAGTAAGATGCTGCTGGAGCGGGTGGCTGCAACCTCCCTGACTGTCTACTCTTCCCCCAGCAGCACGGATCTTCTCTGGGGGAAGTTGCCAGTGTAGACACGCACTCAGTGGAGTTGATGTGGGTCCAGCCATTTTCCTCATCAATGTAGGCAGAGCCAGGAACTGTATATTTTCCTATTTTCCACTACGACCAGTCTGCATTTGATTACACAGTCCAGAAGTTTGAAACCAGAGTTATACTTTTTTTTTTTTTTTTGAGACAGAGTCTCACTTTGTTGCCCGGGCTAGAGTGAGTGCCATGGCATCAGCCTAGCTCACAGCAACCTCAAACTCCTGGGCTCAAGCGATCCTTCTGCTTCAGCCTCCCAAGTAGCTGGGACTACAGGCATGCTCCACCACGCCCAGCTAATTTTTTCTATGTGTATGTTAGTTGGCCAATTAATTTCTTCCTATTTTTAGTAGAGACGGGGCCCTGCTCTTGCTCAGGCTGTTTTTGAACTCCTGACCTTGAGTGATCCCTCCGCCTCGGCCCCCCAGAGTGCTAGGATTACAGGCATGAGCCACCATGCCCAGCCAGAGTTATAATTATATTTCTAAAATTATGCCCAAAACAACAACCTTAGAAACCTAGGGGGGAAAAATAGAGTAGCTAAAACCAATAACTTCAGAAGTAGGAGGTTAAGATTTTCATGTTAGCAATTTAGAGTAACCACACTAATTTGTGGCTAGGTAGGGCATATTGACTAGTAACTGCATATATAAATAACATATTACTCATTGAAGTCCTGTCTTGCTCCTCAGCTACCTCTTTAAAGAAAGGGCAGATTTTCTATTTTCTCCAAAATGTCAATTTTATGGGGTATTTAAAATATTTTTTCATGGGTAGAATCATATGTACTATGCGGTCTCACTTGAGGGGGTCTCTTTACAGCTTAGATGTTTGTTTCCCTAATCTATAAAATGACAGGTTTGGATTAGATTATTTATTCTCTAATGTTTGAGTGCAACAGAATATCTGGAGAGTTTATAAAATGTGCAGATTCTCAAGCCCCCACCAATTCATTAGGTCTGAGGTGGGTTTCACATGTTAGCAACCTTCTAGGTTTCAACAAGAAAAGCAGTTGTTTATAATTTTAATGTTTGATTAGCAAACACACTTTGAGGAGTAACACCCTGTAAATTCTCTAAGGTCTCTTCCAGATCTAAAATGCTGTGTTCTGGAAGTTCTCTGTTTGAAGAAAACTCCTACTCACCTGGTAAATGGTAGCACTCCTCATGTGTTATTGGATGTACTACATACACCACCGCACCCATTTGAAGGAACTAAAACTTGGTCTTCAAATGTCTGGGCTGTGGCCAGGCACGGTGGCTCACGCCTGTAATCCTAGCACTCTGGGAGGCCAAGGCGGGAGGATCGCTCAAGGTCAGGAGTTCAAAACCAGCCTGAGCAAGAGCAAGACCCCCTCTCTACTAAAAATAGAAAGAAACTAATTGGTCAACTAAAAATATATGGACAAAATTAGCCAGGCATGGTGGCACATGCCTGTAGTCCCAGCTACTGGGGAGGCTGAGGCAGGATTGCTTGAGCCCAGGAGTTGGAGGTTGCTATGAGCTAGGCTGATGAGCCAGGGACTCAAAAAAAAAATAAAAATAAAAAATTGTCTGGGCTGCTTTAGGTGTAGCTCAGCTGCAGCAAGTTTACTGGAGCATGTACTACTTGTTTGTGGCTTCACAGGCAATTATGCAAAAGTTTGTGCCCATCCTGACTGCTTGGGTAAAAAATCTTGCATGCCAAATCTTTAACATGTTTGCGTACCCATAGTTAAATTTAGTCTGCAAACTCCATTTTAAATTATGTGCACACATGCTTACACAAGAGAGAAGAAGAAAAAGAGCTTTTTTTTTTTTTCTTAATGCCACTTCTGGACATTTATATGAGCATATTTAAACTCCCCAAACCCTCACTTCCGGCTTCACCTTCATTATCTCAAATCCCCGTCCTGTGTCAATAAGCTTTTGTTCCCTTCCTCCAAAGCCCCCTCTAAAATTCATCTCTATAAACATTCTGTGAATGCAAAGCTCTGTACACATCCAGCTGCGTGCTGGTAAGCGTTCAACACTCAGCTCTCAGTGGGAGGGGATTGGAAGTCGGGGGGAGCCTGATTTATTTTATTTTTTATTTTATTTTATTTTATTTTATTTTATTTTATTTTATTTTATTTTATTTTATTTTATTTTATTTTATTTTATTTTATTTTATTTTATTTTATTTTATTTTGAGACAGAGTCTCGCTTTGTTGCCCAGGCTAGAACAAGTGCCGTGGCATCAGCCTCGCTCACAGCAACCTCAAACTCCTGGGCTCAAGCAATCCTACTGCCTCAGCCTCCTGAGTAGCTAGGACTACAGGCATGCACCACCATGCCTGGCTAATTTTTTCTATATATATTAGTTGTCCAATTAATTTCTTTCTATTTATAGTAGAGACGGGGGTCTCGCTCTTGCTCAGGCTGGTTTTGAACTCCTGACCTTGACCAATCCACCCGCCTCGGCCTCCCAGAGTGCTAGGATTACAGGCGTGAACCACGACACCCGGCCTGGGGGGAGCCTGATTTAGAATGTGAGGGGCACAAACTCTTTACACTCCTCCCTTTCAGGAGATGAAACTTAGTCCCATTCCATTTGAGGACTTAGCAAGTCATTCACATGATCGTCGTACAGCAAAAGTGATGTGATTTGTCTGTCCTCCAGAATTCAGTCATAAAAGGACTGCAGCTTCCATCTCAATTATGCCCTCATGCTGGCTCGCTCTCCTCCTCTCCACCTGCCCTCCATCACTTGTTCCAGGGCAGCTGTCAGGAGGCTTACAGAGCAAGAAACTTCGGCACCTGACAAAGAGGCTGGAAGAAACTGACGTACTCAGTCCGTGGGCCCGTGAAGCACTGAGGCCTGTCAACAGCCCTGCGAGTGGGCTGCAAAGCAGACCCTCCTGCACCAGCTGAGCCTTGAGAGGACTCCCTTGCTGATGTCTGATGTCTCTGAGGGTCACTGCAGCCTCGTTAGAGACTCGGAGTCAGAGCCAGCCAGCTAAGCAGCTCCCAGTTTCCTGACCCACAGGACAGCTACATAATAAATGTTTGTTGCCTTAAGCTGTGAGTTTGGGATGATTTGTTACACAGCTATAGATAACTGATGCATGCAGCATCTCTCCTATACACAGATAATAGACATAAATAACCTCCAGAACATAGAGGATAGGATGATAGCAGCAAGATGACAGAATAGGAAGTCCCGGCTCTCATTCTTCCACAGAAACACAGATTTAACAATGATACAAGTAATACAGACAGCTTTATAAGAAGCCCAGAATCACAGACAAACACAAAGCAAGAGCAGCCACACTGACACAGACAAGAAGAGCCATGTCACTTCACCTGCTGCACAGCTCAGCATGAAGAGGGTTGGCCACTCCTCCCCGGGGTGGACTGGGGGAGGGCAGAGAGTGGGGCAAGCATCCAACTTTTCTAGCCCTTCAGTACATTCCGCAAGTGGCTGGTGTCTGTCCTGCCTCTAAAAGATGCTAAAAGTAGAACAGTCCAGATACCTGGGAGGGCCCGGAGATGGGCATGTTTCCATGGCAGGCAAAGCTCTGAGAGACTTGTAGACATCGTAGGGCTGAGGCCTCCCCTCCAGGATAGAAGGAGGAATGGACCAAAACTCGAATGTCTCTGCCCTTTCACTGGGCTCCCTGAAGAGCTGCTTCTCTCTCACCTCCCATAGAGCAGTGATGGATCGTATATAGGAACCAGTGAGAGCAAGAGATTCCTGGTACTGACTTAAACAAACAAACAAAAAAAGACAAATACAAGTTGATCTACCATGCGATCCAGCAATCCCACTACTGGGCATCTACCCAAAAGAACAAAAGTCACTCTATGAAAAAGACACCTGCACTGGAATGTTTATAGCAGCACAATTCACAATAACAAAGATGTGGACACAACCCAAGTGCCCATCAATACACCACTGTATTAATAAGATGTGGTCTACGTATACCATGAAGTACTGCTCAGCTATAAGAAACAATGGTGACATTGCACCTCTTGTATTTTCCTGGATAGAGCTGGATCGCATGCTACTAAGTGAAGTATCACAAGAATGGAAAAACAAGCACCACATGTACTATCAAATTAGTATTAACTGATCAACACCTAAGTGGACATATAGGACTAATATCTATTGGGTGTCGGGCAGGTGGGGGAGGGGATGGGTATATACATACATAATGAGTGTGATGCATACCAACTGGGGGATGGACATGCTTGAACCTCTGACTCAAGGTGGGGGGACAAGGGCAATATACATAACCTTAACATTTGCACCCCCATAATATGCTGAAAATAATTAATTAATTAATTAATAATAATAAAGACTAGATGCCTGAGTCAGGAGCTAGGAGGAAAGGCCCAGAAATTCTACCTCAGATAACTGGCAAAGATCTTTCTCAATCAAAGCCAGTCCATAAAGACTGGAGAGGGAGCTGTTTCTTCAAATGTATAGACACCAATGCAAAGCACCAGGGACACAAAGAATCAGGAAGACAAAGCACAGTCAAAAGAACAATAACAACAAAACTCCACTAGCTAGCCCCAAAGAAATGGAGATCTATTAATTATCTGATGAAGAATTCACGATGATCATCTTAAAGCAACTCAGCAAGTTACAATAGAATACAGAAAGACAACCAAAACAAAATCAGGAAAACAATACATGAACAAAACAAAAACATTACAAAGAAACAAAAACAATAAAGAAGAACCAAACAGAAATTCTGGAGCTGAAGAATACCTAACTGAAGTAAGAAATTCACTGTAGGGGCTCAACAGCAGAGTTGGTCAAGCAGAAGAAAGAATCACTGAACCCAAAGACAGGTCATTTGAAACTATCCAATCAGAGCAGGAAAAAGAAAAAAGAATGAAAACCAGTGAAGAAAGTCTAAGGGAATTATCAGATACCACCAAGCAAACAAATATATGTATTATGGGCATCCAGAAGGAGAAAGAGAGGAGGAAGCAACAAAAGCTTATCTAAAGATGAAGTGGCTGAAAACTTCCTAAATCTGGGAAGGGAAATGCACATCTGGATTCATGAAGCTCAAGGGATTTTAAATAGGATGGACCCTAACTAGTGTACACTGAGACACTTTATAATCCCATTGTCACAAACCAAACAAGTTGTGAAAGCAGCAAGAGAAAAGCCACTCATCACAGACAAGGGACACCCACACACTATCAGCAGGTTTCTCCGCAGAAACATTGCCGGCCAGAAGGAAGTGGGATGATTATTTAAAGAGCCAGAGGGATGCTGCTGGCTACCTGCTGGGATGGCTGATGTCGAATAGGCTTTTACCTGTATTTTATTCTTGTATCTTCTGCATCTTGTCGCCTCACCCTTGCTCTTTAGCTTTTACCACACAGAAGCGCAGATCCTTCAAAGGTATAGGCAGCCAAATAGCATTCTCTTTCCACTTGCCCCTTCATGCTAGCTGGCCAGTCAACCAAGTACGGCATTTAAGATACAATCTTTGCCAATTTAACTCAATGCTAAATGCTCAAAATTAGTTCCCTCTGTTCTCCATGACCCCACACTACAATCCTGGTATTATAACTGGCATATTGGTCACAAAACAGTAATATTTAACTAATATGTAAATGAATGTGCTAACATTCACGTTGTGATGGTTCATGCTGGGGTCTCTGAAGGGGGTCGATAAATAGCACGCCTCTTCCCCATGTGCGATCTGCACAAATTGAGGGAAAACAAGTGGCAGATACAGACCAAAATATCATGTTTCTTACTGATAAAAGCTAAATTGGGGGTGTAGCTTAGTACGGGGCACACAGATCTGCTAACTGAACCCCAGGGCACCTCAGATTTGCCTGCTTGCCTCGGTCTGGGCAGTGCGGGCAGGGCAGGCCCCCGGCCTGCAGAGAGGGACCCCACCCCATGTGGCAGATTCACTCACGAGGGACATGGGGAGCAAACCCGGCGCACTTGGAGTGTTTGTCCCCAGCTCTCCCACTGCCCCAGGTGTTCAGATGAGTGGACAGAGACCACATGCACTGAGGGACAATTCCTCCCAGCGCAAACCAGAGGCCTACAGAAGAGGCGTTTTTCCATTTTATCGTGGCTATAATATGAAATTATTAACTATAGGAAAAGTCAGTACTTGTTAAACCCCTCTTAGTATTATAATCTGTTTCAATTTTGGCTTTCAAA